CTGGGGTGGCTGGGAAACCTTGCAGTGATACGACGCCATTGAGAGGACCGCTGACAAAATATCTCATCAGGGTTGTCACGGGGCCTGGAGGGATTTGGGCGCCTGGCTAGCTTGGCCGAGGGACAAAAGCAGGATGAAGATACACCTAAGCGAGGGCATTGGGACGAGCAATTATCAATGAAAATCAAGGCCAGTAGCTGCAGTCTTAGCGATAATAATTCAAGGTTGGTTTCAATGATTACAGCACTCTTGATGGTAGCAATGCCCTGGCAGTAGCACGCAGAGTTGAAACTGAAGCCAGGTGCCTGCAGTCGCGTCCAAGTACCTTGTACGGTGTGGATCGCTGGACCGCCCACTGGCTGAGTTGGGGAAGGTGGGACTCCCGCATGCGTCACGCCTGACCGCGTATGTGCACGCCAACCAGCACTACAGAAGAAAGTGTGATCCTCGCTCCTGTCCGCCAAGGTTAAGGCCAGTAGCCCGTCTTTTGGGGGTCTTTTGGGTCTTTTTGTGTGGCCTGAGCCGTCTCCATCCATCCCCGAGGCTGGTGGAGAGGAGAGGCAGGCATTGCCCTTCCAAGGAATTGATTGATTGCTTGCTCTTTACTCTCAGCGCTTTCACAGTCGGTGCTGACTCCAGTAATTAATCCGTCTGCCTGCACGTCGTGACGCCTCTCTAGTCTCGTCACTGATGACGGACCCAGCACCAGCGACAGACACTACCACACACACCTCCAATCCACCCGCGAATTGTCTGCCCCTCCCCCCTTCCACAATACACCTCCATTCCACCACTCGACGAGTCCTGACGCCATACACGAAATCCCCATGACCGCCATGGCCCCCGACCGCATCGATGCGGTCGCGCCTTTGGGGAGCTATGTTTCTCTAGACAGCCGACAAATGGACCCCTCCGTCGCGTCTGCATTTATTCGCGGTGACCACGCAGTTTCGCCACCTACCGCGATCCCCGAGGCGCGTGCCTCTTCCAACTACATCAAGGGCGTCTTCTCCCACGGCAAGGTTCTCGACCGACACAACACTGATCTGCCCTCCCGCGCGGACGGGGATCATTCCCAGAGCGACCCGCGTTCCATAGCCGGGTCACAGGAGTCGAATGTCACCAGCGTATCCGACCAAGTCTTCACCCCGACACAGGCCAGCAGCATCCAGAATAGCGCCGATTCCGATCCCATGCAGCAGGTGATCGCCTCCAGCCAGGATGACCAGCTGTTGCAGCTGTCAGAATTGGCAGCCGGGAGGCAGCGATTACGGACTGACAGTGCTCCCACCCCGCGGAAACGCATGGCGGATGGCGAATTGAAGAGCCCCTACAAGAGCCATTCGAGGAATGCGAGTGCCGTCAGCGCAGTCTCGACGGCCAGCACCGTCGGCGATGTTGGTGTTCCCTTTTGCAAGCGCCTCCTTTTGTTTTTCGGTTTGCTAACCTCGTGGTGCAGATGGCTCAAACACTGAAGAGTCGTTTATCATGGGCCATGTACAAATACAAGAATGGTCTGGAGGAGAAGTCTATTGACGAAATCGAGACCATCATGTCCTCCCAATCAAGCTCCCCGGTTTCCACCGTATCGACGACTCGAACCCGGCCCGTCCTAACTGGTCTTAACCCGCAGATGCGGGTTCATTTCGCCAGAGACATGGAGCAGCAGCAGCAACACATCTCAGATACCCCCACAACATCCTCCTCGGCCAAACCCATAGCTCTCGCGCCTCCGGCTCCGATCCGGCCGTCCATTTCGTCGCATGCACCGCGTCCCAATCCGCGTCGGAATTCCAACCCCCACTACATGCCAACCTTCCTTACTACCTCTCACCAAGCCTCACCGCGAACGCCGGCCCAGCCGTCACCACTGGGTGGCCAGTCGAGAGCACTTGCCATGGCTGAGGGTGGTGTTTTCTCCACGCACCACAACAATAGGGAAAAGGATGCCGTGGAGACGCTCATGTTTCTCAGTAGCCCCAACAATTCGGCCAATTTGAAGCATGATATCTCGCCCTCACATTCACCTGGGCCTTTCGGCAGTCAGGATACCCCTCGAAGTTCCAACGGTCGCCATGCCTTGCCTAGTGGGCCGCGGAAAGCGCTGCCTACCCACCGTCCAGACGTATCAGCACGGAAAGCTCTGTACAGGGCCTCTTCTAACATGTCTAGCATCCAGGGCTCCCCCATGCTCCTAGATTCACCACATTCCCAACACTCCCCTTATCGAGGCACACCTAGAAATCGTTTCAATGGGGAAACTGGTCATGTTAGGGGCGCGTTGTCCCTTCCAAGTCCCTTGGGTTGGAACAGTAAGCCTAGGCGGAAACCGCTGACTGAGGAGGATGTGCTGAAGATGCTGGATCGAAATACGGACGACATGTGCCTTAGCTCTGACGATGAAGGCGACATTGAAATTCCTTGTCGTAGAAATGGAGCTGGGCTCAGTCCCTCATAGCGTGAGGCGAATCTGCGACTTTCTCCCATACGCCACTGGTTCTGTCATGGGCGCTCATTTGTCTGGGGGATATGTTGAGATCTCGAAACTGACCTTGCCGGCTTCCCTGGCACACCCATCACTCTTCTGGATTCTGTTCGTCGACATTTATGATTGTGGTACTCTTCATTGCATTGCAAGCGATTTCTCATCTTGTCTGTGGACTTGGGCCCTCGGGCTTTCACTCAGGTTAGATTTCATTCTTGGTCAATGATGGCATTGTCATTCTTCTTCCCTTTTCGCGGGTATCTGTGTCTGCACTCGGTCCCAGTCCTCGAAACCTACGACGCTACAGTATTTCTACACCACGGCGGTACTTTTGCTTCGTCAATATTCCTGGATTGGGGCGGTGGGTGTTTGATCTTTGTCACATTTTCCCCTTTTTCCTTTTTTTGGGTTCAAATCAATCTTGGCGTACGGAAGGGTATCATCACTGATCTATCTGACTCTGGGCGTTGGCGATATGCCGACTTATGAGATACTGATCGGGCGGCGTTTTTTGTTTTCTTCCCAGCCCCTCCCTCAAATCTATTTGCATTTGAGAAGGGGCACTGTACCAATACATGGGGCATTGGGATGTGTTTTTCGTTTACAGATTGTGGGTTTTTTATTTATTAGGAAGCATGCATGGCCTGGTTACGGTCGCTCTGGCTCGCGCTTTGGGCGACGTTCCAAGAGGAGGGACTCGAGCGTTCTGGAGATAGCGCGTTGCTGCATCACAGGCAGTATTACATACTTTCCTCAACAGCGAGGCAAAGAAAGAAACAAAGACAATACGATTATTCGAAAAGACTGAGAATCAAGGGCATGGGTATCATGACGCGTAAAAACCGGCTCCGGCCCCAACCGAGGCTCCATGATGAGATGAGATGAGAACAATCCAGCACCGCGCCCCCTCCTTTTCCCTTCATGACCACGTTTGTATGCACAGTTGATGTAATGGTTGCTTTCCGGCTCACCCGTCCCTGGGTGGCTTGACATAATCGGCAATTCTTCTCACCACCCCGCCCTGGTTCCTTGACTGACGTGAAGACTCTTCTTGGCTCCGCGCCGACCGATGAGGCCTGTGCACTAGATCCGCCGCCTGTGCTTGCGAAACGAAGAGCGAGAAATCGTCCATTTTCTCGTCCTCGCCTTGCCGGTACGGACTCCCCTCTTGGTGCGTTGGCAAGACCCGAGGCTTGGGCGTTGTGGTTCGGAGGAAGTCTGTGGCGGCGTGCTGGGGGACGTAGGCAGTGCGGACAGGTGCCTTTGGGGAGGTTCGCTGGTGGGCGGTTTGGCGTGGGAGAAGGGCCAGAGGCGCTGACAGAAGGGGAAGGATGTGCGACTGGGGGACTGGGAGGGTGGTGAGGCGTCACCCGGGGATGTGGCTGGCGGCAGGGCCATGTGTAGATGATGAATAGATAGCTGGGAGGGGATTAAGCGAGAGATGGTAGAACTATATTATTTTATTTTTGGCCAGAGACATTTTGAAGAATGGGTTGAGTGGCTTGCTTGTAGTTATATACACATGTATGCCCTTGGAGGCGTGGCAGCCACCACATCACCTCATGTCCGAGACGGGCAATAGTCAGCTGAAGCTCGGGAGATGGAAGAAAATTACTGGAATGGTGAGAGAGGAAATGAGAACTAGCGAATTGCCAACCCAGAGGCTATTGGCTCCGCGAGTCGCCTACCTGGGCTATGCGGCGGTGGAATATTGTTCAGCTGCGAGGGGGCAGCGACTGATTAGCCGGTTCCAGATCTTCGCCATATCCACTGCGGCGGTCCAGATGCGATGGGACGGGGGAAGAGGGTGCAAGGGTCGGTGGTGTGACCAGCGAACAGGGACGCGGATTGGTGATAAGCAGGTTGGTAATGCCGGCGGCGGGTATGGCTGGTATCTACGGAGCGGCTTGATGATCGAGACGGCTTGTCACTGGTGGCGGGAGCGATAAAGAAGCATATTTAACGGGGGAATAGACGACTTGGATTGTTGCCAAGACTCTATTGGAATTGATGGTGGATGCCCTGATGCTGATGTGGCACATTGATAATTCTACTGGGTCCATCCGTCTAACTAGATTACACATTCTTAATTATTGGAGAGCATGATTTCAAACGGCTCAGATCTAGGGAACCCATCAATGACTTGAAAGCTTCAACCCCTCTGACACTTGACACGATTTGCTCCGTCTCTCCCAACCAACACCACCCACAAGCTTTATCATGTCCCTCATCCGCCCGTCAGAGACTGAGACAAGATTATCCGCCCTTGCCAATCCACCACTCAATATCCGTCCCTGAGACATGGCGGCAGTCAGTATGAATCGAGGAACGCGACAGCCGGTGACTTTTGAGGGGTTTGGTGTTACAATTGGTAGGGACCCAAGACATTTCTGTCATCAGGGCAACGGTTTTCAGCAGGGAGATGGCATTTAAAGAGGCACCAATGAGCCCTCGGCTTCCCTGGCCTCTCCGTTGTTTGCCATAGAGGACCATAATACCTCTTACAGACACCATCATGGCCTTCTCAGTGGTAGCCCTCCTTGGACTCGTCAGTCTGGGCTCATGCGCGACGCTTGTCGAACAAGTGTCGGAGGTACCGAGTGGATGGAAACAACTTGGCGACAAGGTCAGCCCCGACCAGTCTTTGTGGCTCTCGTTTGCTCTGCGTGAACCCAATATCGCAGAGCTGCGAACACGCCTTGTCTCAGGGACAAACAAGCACCTGTCGGACGAGGAGGCCCGTCTGATCCGCCAGCCCGACCAGCAAGATGTCGACGCCGTCCAGAAATGGCTTGCCGAGAACGGCATCAAGGACGCCAGGCAGGAGAATGACTGGATCCACGTGCGCACGACCGTCTCCGCCGCAGAGCCGCTGCTGGGGATGAAGCTGCGCCGCTACGAGTTCGAGGACGGGCAGCAGGCGCTCCGGACGACCGAGTACGCGGTCCCGGACTCGCTCAGGAACGCCATCAGCTTCGTCCACCCCATCGCCAACTTCATGGAGCCCCGAAACGAACTGACGCGACTCTCCCCGGCGCAGCCTGATCGCGATCTATCGAAACGCCAGGGTCCCGCCGGTCCCTGCTTTGGCAGAGTAACACCCGACTGCATTCGCGAGCTCTACAAGCTGCCCCCGGCCGGTCCCAGCGAGAATTCGACCATCCGCCTGGGAATCGCCGGCTTCCTCGAGGAGTACGCCAACTACGCCGACGCGGCCCAGTTCCTGGACAAGCTCGCCCCCGACGTCGCGAGCACCGGGTACAACTTCTCCGTCGAGCTCATCAACGGCGGCCAGAACCCGCAGGACCCCTCAAAGTCCGGCCTCGAGGCCGCCCTGGACATCCAGTACGCGCTCGCGCTCGCGCACCCGGCCCAGCTCACCTACTACTACACCGGCGGGAGGGGCGTCAAGCTGGGTGATGATGGTAAGGCGCTCGCGGGTGAGCTGGTGGACAACGAGCCGTACCTCGAGTTCCTGGAGTACCTGCTCGCCAAGCCGAACGGCGACATGCCACACGTGCTGTCCTTCTCCTACGGCGACGACGAGCTGTCCGTACCGAGGCCGTACGCCGAGCGGATCTGCAACATGATGGGGATACTGACGGCCAGGGGAACGACCATCCTCAGCTCCTCGGGCGACGGCGGCGCGAGGGGGTCCCGCAGGTCCAACTGCGTGACCCCGGAGGGCAAGAAGGTCACCATGGCCGTGTTCCCGGCCACGTGCCCGTGGGTGACGTCGGTCGGGGGCGTGTCCAACAGCTACGAGCCGCCCGAGGGCGCGGAATTCAGCGGCGGCGGGTTCTCGCAGTTCTTCCCCATGGAGGAGTGGCAGAGGGACGCGGTGGCCGGGTACGTCGAGAGTCTGGGCGGGCACCTGGAGGGGTACTATAACGCGTCCATGCGTGCGGTGCCGGACATCTCGGCCGTGGCGTCGACCTTCGAGATCATCGTCGGCGGGAGGGTCAGGTACGTGGACGGGACGAGCGCGAGCACGCCGCTGCTGGCGTCGTTGATCGCTGTGGCGGACCATGAGAGGGCGAAGAGGGGGAAGGACCCGGTGGGGTGGATCAACCAGCATCTGTACAGGAGGGAGGCCAAGGGTGTGTTCCAGGACACGATCGTGGGGGAGAGTACTTCGTGCCCGTTTGATGAGAATGGGGGGCCGGGAGGGTGGCCGGCTGTTGAGGGGTGGGATGCTGTGACTGGCTTGGGGGTGCCCAATGACTTTTCGGAGTTTTTGAAGTTTCTGGTGGCCATCTAAGCCATAGATGAAAGCATTGTTTCTCCGAACCTGAAATGTACTATAGAGATAGAGTGCTCGAGGTCGAGGGAGTTGGTCTTTTCCAGTTAAATCAGACCATGTGTAGTATTGTTCGATGATTCTAATGTAGATTACTTCATAAACAGAGGTATCTCTTGAACAGAATTAGGAATAGACGTGCGGAAAGAATTAAACACTACTCAGGGTTCGTTCAACTATATGCTGAATCATTGGTTCTTAGTTTCTTGCCCTATCCAGTTAACTGGCCGGCGTAAAGAGGGTTGGACACCCTCGTGAGCGTAACTTCGACACTCGTAGAAGTAATCTTCTTAGGATTATAGTTACGGGAATGTACAGTTTCTACTTAAGTGTATTATGTTGACTCCGGCCTATCCAATAGCTATAGTTGAGTAGCTGCTGGGAGCGACCTCTCTGTTGTGAGTATTACATTGAAATGAAAGTGTTTGTTCGGAGATTGGGTTTACCTGAAAGAGCAATGAAGAAAGCGGGAACCGCAACCGGCTCACTAGGAGTCAAGGATAAACATATTGGATTCAACTCGATTTATTATTAGTGATAGAATCGTAATTATCTGTTTCGAGCTTGATTGTATTTGCCAACTGAACGGTGGCGGTGTTCTAGTGGGCTGGTTCACGATCTGGACTATAACCTAAGCTTACCTATTTGTCTTCTGTGCTTTCTAGTCCTGTCTTTAGGTAGCCACAGGTGTGGCGTAAGAAAAGAAAGGCTGCAGCTGTGAAGTCAAGATTTAGGCGTGAACCTTCTATCAATAATTGAAGTTTTTAGGATAATCCTTAGGAATTCTTCTGTTTGTCTAACTATATTAAGGTGGCTATAAAGTATATAGTCCTATAATGTTTTGTAGTTACTTAGGCTGACCTAGACTTTTTTTTCTTCGCTCACGTATAATTTCTGTAATTAAGTAGTTTATACTATCATAGAAGGAGGATGGAAGAGAGGCGAGGAGTGAGGAGTACGGTGTTACAAGATTGCCTATCTTTATTGATTGACACGGGGATTGTAAGCCCATGATGGGCTGATGCTTATTTGTTCAAAGCAAATTGAGCTTGACTTGGAAGCGTGTATTAGCTCGATCGGCGATAGATTATAATGGAATGGGGGTGTAGATGCCGAGCGTAGGTTTAAGTTTTGGACTGTTGACAGAAACCACAGATTCCCCGCAGACTGTCTTTATCAGTAGGGAGTAAGCGATGAGGGTGATGCATGGCCTGGGACAATGACAAATTCATGGTCAAAGCGGAGTCGTAGTGGTCAATATATCGTCCCGACTTGGCGACAATAGGAGGCAATTGAAGGACAATACAATAGATGATAATCCAATAGATGATAAGCTATGACATCGGAGAGGGCGTTGTCGGTTGTTTATTTTTCTGAGATTGGTAAATGAATCCATGATTGAGATGTGGTTTCCGGGAGAATGATTGTCGCACAATAGAAATACTGATTCATTGATACAGGTTCATGCACTCACTTCCAATGCCAATCGTTGCGGCTGTGACTTGATGAAGATGATGATGCAGCCTGGAGGATCCGACAGAAGAAGGTTCAGTGGCTTGCCCGCTGCAAGGCTTATCGATAGCGGTCACAGGGCGTTTTACGGGGGCTACAGGACCCTGCTGCGTCCGGTCTAGTTCACCGAGGCGCCTCCACCTCTTAATTGGGGCAACAACAATGATCCTCCAGCCATTGAGGAAGGCGCGTGTCGGCGGCCCAGATAGGAAAGAGGCTGGTTCGTCTCCTCACCTCTCGGTCCGGAGCGACTCTCAGCTCATTCAGCCATTCAGGCCTTGCTTGCTCCTTGTTGACCTCACGACTCTCCTCGTCCAGCCGCCGGACGTTTCTTGGAGTCTCGCTGGCCGGAACCTCCCGCTGCTCCCGTGATTGTGTGCTCCTGCTTCAGCGCACACAATCATCTCCACCAACGCATGCCCGCGACCGCGCACCCACCACTTCCTGCCAATCCTCCACCACCCAACCGCGTTCGAACCACTCTTCCAACCGCACCTTTCGTGAATTGGCCCAGCAGCGTCACCTCCGGACCGTCTCCCAGCTTCGACACCGACCACGATGACGATCGCCCCTTGTTGTCACCTTACAACTGAGCTTCCACTGTGAGACGAGACTCAGGCTGCAGAAAGCGCGTCGTGGACTGGCCCTTTTTGTGCTGAGCGCGCGCACGATCTGCTGCCTGTTGCTTCTATCCTGCTACCGCCATGCCTACCCAACACGTTGACCCGAGCTCCGACGAGCTGCTCCAGGCTGTGGCAAATAACCTGCTCAAGGCGCGCAAAGTGGTCGTGGTAACTGGTGCTGGCATCAGTACCAATTCAGGCATTCCGGTATGCTGCATAACGCGCCCTTCCCCCGCTTTCTCTCGACCCGACGCGGCCCACGACGGTGAACGAGCCTAGGCTGATCAATGAACTGCAGGATTTTCGATCTGAGAATGGTCTCTACTCTCTGATTCAGGCTCATTTCGAGCTAGCACGCAATAACGCATCCCCAGACACGACTTCACAGGGAGACAGCGATACGAACGAGGGCGACAACGAACGCGAGTTTCAAGATGGACCTGCTCCCAAGCGGAGAAGGCTTTCTTGCGGCCCCATCATTTTTAACAGACAGGAGCGAGCAGACGAGAAGGAAACCGAGGACGCCGTGGCCGTGGAAGAACCTGCCGAGACCCCAGTTCAAGAGCATGCCAAACCTCCGACCGATGACGACCTCAACCTCCCCTCCTCCCCCACCCGAACGACAGGAAACGCGATCCAAGTGTCTACGCCAAAAGCCATGCGCACGCTCGATCTTGCAGAAATGCCGACGACCTCGCCGCTCTCTTCGCCACCCCTTGAGGAAATTGTCCTCCCCACAACGCCTGTCCCCATGATCCAAACTCGTTCACTTCGATCGCGTCGTGATCTTTTAGACATCGCCATTCCCGCCAGCTCATCGCCCCTCTCCTCACCGCCACCTATATTATTCGAACCCCACCCCCCCTCTCCTTCCATCACCAGCTCGAGCCGAAGGAGCAGTACGTCACAATGCGAAATGGACTTGACCTCCAACTCGCTCAGCGCATCTCAGTCATCTTCCGGCCGCAACAGCTTGCCCAACATGAAGGGAAAAGATCTCTTTGACGCCTCAATCTGGTCGGATCCCCTCAGAACATCCGTCTTCTATACTTTTGCGACATCCCTCAGACAGAAGGTCAAGGATTGCGAACCCACCAGCTCCCACCGGTTCATTAGTCACCTGAGAGACCGGAAAAAGCTTGTCCGTTGCTACACCCAGAACATTGACCGGATTGAAGAGAAGGTTGGACTTTCTACCAGTCTTGAGGAGGGCCCGGGAAGTCGTGGTCGATTTTCTCGACGCTCAACAGCCAATGGGGCCCAGCTCAGCAAAATGGTGGAAGATGCTGCCGTTGAACCCCCCACCCCAATTGGCGAGAGCCATCCCTCGCTCTCGAACCAGCATCCGGCAGACGAGACAGAGACACCCAAGACTCCCGTCACGGAGTCGGAAGCATCTGCTGGCGACCAACCCAAGGCTCCTCCCAAACTGGAAACACTACGGTCGTCTGGAGTGGAATGCGTCTTTCTTCACGGGTCTTTAGAAAGCCTGAGGTGCTTCCTTTGCGGACGCGTAACTTGTTGGGATGGTATTCGAGAGTCAGAAACCATGTCCGGCCAGCAGCCTGAGTGCCCTCACTGCGTTGGAGCGACGGCTGCCAGGGAAGAACGAGGGAAGAGAGCGCTCGGTGTCGGCAAACTCAGACCTGACATTGTTCTCTATGGAGAGGAACACCCCAACGCGCATCTAATAAGCCCGATTGTCACGCATGACCTGGCCTTGTGTCCGGATATGCTCCTGATTTTGGGGACAAGTTTGCGCGTGCATGGCCTAAAGATACTGGTTCGTGAATTTGCAAAGTCTATTCACAGCCGGGGCGGCACCGTCGTGTTTGTCAACTTTACCAAGCCACCAGAGAGTTCATGGGGAGATATTATCGACTACTGGGTGCAATGGGACTGTGATGCATGGGTCTCCGACCTCCAGAACCGTGTCCCAAAACTATGGGAGGAGCCCAAGGAGAAGCAGCCGGCGAAAAATCCCATGGCACTGCGCGATACCAAGGTGACTGGCGCATATTGGACACAGAAGATCATCGGCGAGCTGCGCCGGATAACTGAGTTCGACGATCCTTCCACACAACCATCCTCATCTTCAATATCTGATACTGTGATGGCCGAAATGTCGATCACGGTTCAATCGAATCTGCACCAGGAACAGGAGACTGAAGAGACAATCGCTGTCCGAGCCTCTGGCGCCGCAACGCCATCACCACCGCCCTCGGAGCCAGCCCTGCCAGCCCTGCCTGTGCAACCTCCACCCCCGCAGCCCGAGCCAGCAGCCAAAGCGTCGGGGAAGCCCAGTGCTGCCCAGAACGCTCTAAGGACAAGGCCAAGGCGAACACGGAAATCCGCACCGGCCGCGATGGAACGTGCAGAGAAGAAGAAGCCGCCCTCAACACTGAACCCGAACCATGGCAGGGCCCTCAAACAGGAGCCAGAGCAGGTGCCAGAGCAGGTACCAGAGCAGGTACCAGAGCAGGAGTCAGCGCCGGAACCAGAGCCGGAGAAGATGGTGATAGAGTTTACTCAACCTACTGTCGTGGTGCAGCCACTCAAGATGGAGGCACCGCCACCTGCTAGCAGCTCAATCTTGAACTCTGTCAAAGCAAACCCTCGCCTCCGCAAGCGCAAGAAGATCTACGGCGAGGAAGAGGTCCTATCGTCGCCCCCTCAGAACATAGGCGGTGGAAGCGAAGTAAGCAGCAGGAGGAGTAGCACCGGCAACCGGCCTGCTCCCAAGTCCTCTCCAGAGCTCACACTGCCGCCGCTGAGAGTGATAGACGCTGCCTCGCCTGAACAGCTTGACCGGCGACCTCGGCCACTGGAACCGCAGAGCCCGCCTCAAGGCCCTCAGCCCACCCTACATGTGAACGTTAGGCAACTGCGATCACAATCATTGGCCATCCAGGAAGCGATAATCAAGAACCAGACACAGACCAAACCTGCCCGAGGCCAGTGGAACGATCAACAGCAAAATTGGATGGGCAGGCACGAAAGCTCGAGTAGTGAGTGGGAGGCGCAGCAACGACAGGAACAGTTTGGACTATCACGGCAACAGCGAGAGGAGCTGGCAAGACGAGAACGAGATCATAATGAGAAGGAGAAGGACGTAGCCCTGGCGCTGGTAGGGCTCAAGGTATCAGCACTGAGGCAGTGGGGGGATACATGGCACGTGTCGCCAAATAGGTGTCGTTGATGATGACTGCGATTGCTTTTTTTTTTCTTAGACAGCGAATGATTGCATCGAGGCAAGCAGGGGCTTTACCAACGGCTGGTTTCTACACTACCATCTTTGTTTTTTTCCATATACACATCTTATGTCGACGGCGTTCTTTCCCTGGGCTTTCATGAAATCTATTTGGGGGGAAATGGCAATGTTTCCTTCGGAGCCGGGCTTGGGAATCCGGCTCAAGGCTGATCATAGAAGGTCTATCTATCTATATACCTAGGTTCTAGTAGTCTTGAATGGCCACAAGCGATCCTGATTTCCCATCCTCTCTCCCGGTGCTTGCCTTGAGCCAGCGAGGACCATTTTGTCTTGTTTGTGGGTGAGTTTCGATGCTGAGCAATCACTGATCTTCAGCTTAGGAGCCTGTCCGCCATCGGCGAATCGTCCGCGCTGCATTAATCAACGTGGCGATCCGGATGGCCCGCCCGAGTTCCTCCTCACCCCCCACTTGTTCTGCTGCTCTACAGTTGGTAGGCAAGTATCTGTGCCAATCTGTCTGACTGATCGGCCTGGGCCTCCGATATCCGCAGTGGGCATGTGAAGTGCAAGCTGACCTTCCAATCCAAGTGCTACCTGCATGCGGAACACGGGCGCGATGTACGGAAAGCAACGCGGGTGCGGGGAAGATCCAGATGACGCCCGAAACCTTGGGCTATTTCTTAGTGTGATCGAGACAGAAGGTTCACTAATCTTTGTTGATTCAATCTATATCTCAAGCTTGCGGCGACAGACTGCGTTTCACACATTGTAGATTACATAGAAGAAGAAAGCGAGACAAGATGGGCCAGAATCTCAGCGCCAGTGATAGAAGCAGCCCCAAAGCTCCCCGAGAGTTTGGCCATGGCTTGTTGAAGGAGTTTCACTTCGACGAGGGCTGGAGGAACCTGAACCATGGTGCGTATTTACAGCTCTCCTGCTCTTCACGATTGGTCAAAGATAAATATTTACTAACACCCCCCAAGGCTCCTACGGCACCATCCCCAAGGCAATCAGCCAGAAGCGCCGCGAGTACCTGGACCGCTACGAGGCGCGCCCGGATGTCTTCATCCGCCGGGACCTGGCGACGCTCGTCAACGAGTCCCGCGCGGCCGTGGCGCAGCTGGTCAACGCGCCCCTGCGTGACGTTGTCTTCGTCGGCAACGCGACCGAGGGCGTCAACACGGTGATGCGGAACCTGCACTGGAACGAGGACGGGCGCGACGTCATCATCAGCTTCGGGACCATCTACGATGCCATGGCGCGCGCGGAGGATTTCGTGGTCGACTACTTTGAGAAGAAGGTCGCCGCCAGGGACATACTGCTCACGTACCCGGTCGAGGACGACGAGATCCTCAGCTTGTTCCGCGAGACAGTGCGGGAGATCGAGGCGGAGGGGAAGCGGGCGAGGGTGGCCGTGTTCGACGTCGTGTCGTCGAACCCGGGGGTGGTGTTCCCCTGGGAGGCGGTGACGGCGGCGTGCCGCGAGCTCGGGGTGCTGAGCCTCGTGGACGGCGCGCAGGGGATCGGCATGGTCCCTCTGGATCTACAGAAGACGGACCCGGACTTCTTCGTGAGCAACTGCCACAAGTGGCTGCACGTGCCGAGGGGCTGCGCGGTCTTCTACGTGCCGGAGCGGAACCACGCGCTGGTGCCGTCGTCGCTGGCCACGTCGAGGGGCTACGTGCCGAGGGAGGGCGGGCGGGCGCTGAGGACGCAGCCGCTGCCCGACTACGGCGAGGAGGGCCACCTGGCGTTCAACTTTGGGTGGGTGGGCACGCGGGACGACTCGCCGTACATGTGCGTCAAGGACGCGATCGCGTGGCGGCGGGACGTGCTGGGCGGGGAGGAGAGGATCCTGGCGTACCTCTGGGATCTGAACAAGAGGGGCATCAGGCACGTCGCTGGGGTGCTGGGGACGGAGTACCTGGACAACAAGACGGGGACGATGACCAACTGCGGGATGGGCAACGTCGGGCTGCCGCTGTGGGTGGCCAAGGAGGAGGAGGGGGAGGGAGGGGGGAAGGTGACGGAGGGAGGGGGGAAGGGTCTGGTGCTGTCGCGGGAGGAGGCACATGCGGCGTTTGATTTCATGTCCAGGGCGCTCATGGACGAGTACAAGACGTTTGTGGCATTGTACGTGCGGTGGGATAGGTTCTGGGTGCGGATCAGCGCGCAGGTGTATCTGGAGATGGAGGACTACGAGTGGCTGGCCAAGGTGCTCAAGGAGCTTGGGGAGAGAGTGGTCAAGGGCGAGTTTCGCAGTCAGAAGCAGCGGGATTAAATCAAGCACAGAAGGCAACCGGCGGACATCTCAGCTATGAAGCAGAAAGACAAGTTGATTGATTTCTTTTTTTGCTTTGCCACCGTCACCCCGTCGTAAGATGATTTATCGAGCAGAGTGGTGGATCTTCAAGTGACAAGTTAAAACTGGCAAGACAGATTGACAAGCATACGATGGAACAAAGCCCGGGATCTCTGTGATAACTATGCCCGCATCCATATCATCTCCGATGGTAATACTCATATAGCTCCATCACCTGGGTTGCATTCTTCTCCGCCTGTGCCTCGGCATCGGGGTCACGATCGGCTGCCAGCTCGCGAAAGAAGTTTGGTTCCATGTACGGCGGGTCGATGAAGTCTTCGCCATTGCCTGCCGAAGGGAAGGGAGGCATCAGTTCCTGGGAGAAACCCAGGGCTACGAGGGCCTTCAGCCGGCACCTGATCAGGTGTGCGCCCAACTGGATGTTGTGCTTGAGAGCATGCGCGAACGTGGTTGAGTCTCTGTGGCAGACGGCACCATGGTGAAATTTATAGATCGTCTGCCCTTCGTTGAGGCCATGGACCAATGTGACTCGAGAGTCGACAGCTTTGCCGTCCCTGTCGCTCCAGAACCAGTCGATCTTGTCATCGCTCTGGGGATCGAATCGCGGCTCGAGGAAGACGGGCGAGCCACAGCGGCGAGCTCCCCTGGCAGGAGGGTCGAGCATGCGGACAGTCCAAGGGAAAAGGCGGCGGTCCGTGCCGGGGGGAGCTGCGTCGACCAGCAAAGTGCCAGCATGGACACGGAGATCAAAGGGTGTGAGTTTGCTGGGGAGGCCGGGGTCGGGGATAGGGAGGCTCGAGTTCCAGGCTGGGCCCTCCTTCGGTTTGAAGACTCGAAGCCAGATACCCTGTGAATGTTTACTCATCGGTCAGCTCAAGGAGCAAGTAGGATGAATAAGAAGGTGGTGATTGACTTTTTCCAGGTTGGGGAGCCTTCCCTGGCTGTCCATCAAGGGTCGCACTGGGCCCTCCTGAGTGCGCGAGAAGGTTGAGTCCATTACGCCATCTATAATGTCTTTGAAGAGCAGACGCATAGGCGTGGTCACGTCTGCAGGCGAAGAGATGGTGATGGAAGGAGGAGCCATGGCCTCTTGTCTAGACTTGAGTCGCGGTGATGGGTTTGGAAGGGTAGGGCAAGGAAGAGAGCCTCCGGGAGCCCTCTTTATCTCTCTATGTTCCGGCCGTGCCAACGGGAAGAAGTGTCGGGAGGGGCTGCATTAAATAGACGACACCTACTACGCATGAAGGACTGGAGCGAGCCTGTGAGACTTGACAGCCATCCATGTCAGACACGGACGGCTGAACACGCTCGTCAACCAACTGAGTACGTACTCTCAGACGAGCTGACTGCAGGCTGCCACACATGACAATGCCCTGGCCTGAGGTGAGCACTCAGACAAAAGCAAGCAAGAGGCAAAAGCAGTCAAGCTGGGAAGAGAGACACGGAGGAGGAGAGAGAAATCGTAGCTGTCAGTTCTCATGTCAGTTCTCACTTCTTGCGAGGAAGGCGCGGGCGAGTAGCCTGTCAACACATTTGCACGGCAGGTACCTCCAGTGGGGAGACACCGGCAGCCGGAGCCTTGGTCAGGGTTCTTCTGGGGTACAGGCGGGGAGCATAGGGGCCCCTCAGTGCTGGAGGTGCTGTGCTGGTACTCCGAGGGGCCGCTGGTACAGAGTGGCCAGGTATTTTCCCAGCGGACAGGCCCCTGTAGCTACCCACTAACTGGGCACGGCTGGGGGCTTGGCATCCAAGCCAGAGCCTCAGCTGCTGCACGATGACTGCCAAATTACCACATCCTTTTTCTCCTCAGCATCAACCAGCTGCACGCTATTCGCCCTCCTCTTTCTTGCTTTTTCGTGACGCCTGCATCCATACATCAGCCTGCAGCGAGGGAGAACCTTGAGATAGGAATGAATGCTCCTAGACCCGAGTCAGAGTCGGCTATGGGCGAATCCAACCTTGCCGTCCGCCCATGTTCTTGTCCTTGAACCAGATCCCAGCTCTCACCATGATCAGCGCTTTGCCCAAACGGTGCAGGCAGCACAACACAGTGAGGCGGTTTGTTGCACAGTCAAAAGTGCCCTCCATAATTCATAATTGCACCAGAGCTGGACCCCGTCCACGAAGACCGACAGGGACATCCGCTATGGCGCCATCGGTCGGAACTTCGACCAGTCCGACCTGCTCATCGTGTTTCTCCGCCCACAACCTCCCTTCTTCCTGCGATACTCCAACCGTCTGCTCAATCACATCTCTCTTCTGCCGTGCGCACGCTGCATCCCTGGTCGAGGTCTAGATCTTTGCAGGCGCAAATACCGATCCACCACACTTGCCCAGAGAGCGAGTGAGGCCTCGCAGCAAGCTGAGCCATTGCATCAGCCAATCGGCACTACGCTCAACACATCTTCCTGAGTCTCCTGGAGGGGGTGTGTCTCACTTATTCCGCCTCTGCATTTACGCTACAGCACACCAGTCACACCGGGAAAAGAAAGCATAACAATGAGAATTGGAATCGGGTTGGGTTTGGTTTTGGGCTCGCTGTCCATCGTGCGTGCAGATGATGGCACGCAGAAGCCCCTGTCTGGCCTCGGCGGACTTGGATCATCGCCCAGGCCTTCATCCTCATCGAAGCGGCCCAACATCGTCTTCGTGCTCACAGATGACCAAGACCTGCATCTTGGCTCCCTGGACCACACCCCTCTCATCAAGAAGCGTCTCATTGATCAAGGGACATTGTACCAGCGCCATTACTGCACCACTGCCGTGTGCTGTCCCTCCCGCGCCAGTCTTTGGACCGGAAAGCTGGCGCACAATACGAATGTTACTGATCTGAATCCTCCATACGGTACGTACTCGTAATCTGGAAATTCCCCTCTTTCCTCCATCACCTAGTCCTCCCCTTGTCTCAGCCTACTTCGGGTCTCGCTGTATCGACTCAGCGTCCATGTGAGAGAACAACTCTGGCGCCGTGTTCTGCAGCCACCATGCATGTTTGGGTAGCACTGACCGAGATTTTGCACATTGCTTTGCAGGCGGCTTCCCCATCTTCGTGAAAAATGGCCACAATGAGAATTATCTGCCTGTGTGGCTGCAGGACGCCGGGTACAGCACCTTCTATACGGGCAAGATGTTCAACGCGCACACGGTCTGGAACTACGGCAACCCACATCTCAAAGGCTGGAGCAGCTCCGACTTCCTTCTGGACCCAAATACATACGACTATTGGAACGCCACGTTTCAGCGTGATCACGATACCCCCGTAAACCATCCCGGGGAGTATTCCACCGATCTCATTGCCAGCAAGGCCCTTGGCTTCCTCGAAGAAGCCCTCGCCACGCCCGACAAGCCATTCTTTCTTGCCATTGCGCCCATCGCTCCTCACAGTAACATCAATAGCTCACTCTTGATCCGTCCCGACTCCCTGGGGCCGGATTCCGTTGACTACTTCAGCTCCGCCAAGGGACTTCGGATGACCCCTCCTGAACCAGCACCACGTCATGCACATTTGTTTCCTGACGCCAAGGTACCCAGGACCGACAACTTTAACCCAGATAAGCCATCTGGGGCTGATTGGATCCGCCGCCAACCACAGCTGACCGATGAGCGGATCGCGTACAACGATCGGTTCTACCGCGGCCGCCTGCAGGCCCTCCAGGCCGTAGATGAGCTGGTCGATGCTGTTGTGGATAGGCTCGAGGCGCAGGGAATCCTAGACAACACTTACATCTTCTACAGCGCCGATAATGGCTATCACATCAGCCAGCACCGGCTCCCTCCTGGGAAGGAGTGTGGATACGAGGAGGACATCAACGTCCCGCTCATTGTCCGAGGGCCTGGCGTACCCAAAGGCGCCGTTTCCAAGGCCGTCACTGCACATGTGGACTTGGTCCCGACGTTTTTGTCGCTGGCCAGGGCACCCCTACGCGCAGACCTCGATGGCGCTCCCATCCCCCTCTCTGCAAAGCAGCAGGATGCTCCCGGCCACCGTGAGCACGTGAATGTTGAATATTGGGGATTCGCAGGAGGCGAGGCCAATTACGACCTGACCGGAAGTGTGGGTGGCAGGATTTTGAACAATACCTACAAGGCTCTGAGGGTGGTCGGCGAAGGCTACAGCCTTTATTACTCTGTTTGGTGTACCAACGAGCATGAGCTGTACGACATGACCGTAAGTGACCTGTCCATGAACACTGCGAAGCCATTGGAATTAACATCTCTTCCTTTCTAGAATGACCCTGGCCAGCTCACGAATCTCCTCCATGCCGACGAGGCCGCATCCAAGGCAACTAGCCGAATATTAGGCCATACCCCAGACGAGGTCATCCCGAGACTGGATGCTCTACTCCTGGTCCTCAAGTCGTGCAAGGGCTCAACATGTTCTCAACCTTGGCGATCATTGCACCCTCAAGGCGATGTCACAAGCCTGCGCGACGCACTGTCGTCGCGTTTCGACAGCTTCTATGAGGAACAAGCCCGCGTAGAATTCTCACATTGCGAAATGGGGCAAATCATCTCGGCCGAGGGACCGCAGTTTGAACATGACGGCAACGTCTACTGGGAGGGCACAAGATGGAGCGACTGGACGTAGAATCACCTTTGTATAGGCCATCAAGCATCGCCAAGGGCAGAGTCAATTGAGCAGGTGGCTAGACATGATGCTCCATTTAATTCCATCCTGTTTGTTGCCCAACACTGAAAACAATCGCAGCATCAATCCCCCATCTCGGCTCGCAGCAGTGCCCTTCGGCAATAAGACTCTCGTAGGTAAAGCGCGCTGTCTATCACGATAAGATGCTCGCCAAGCTCGATGGCGTGCTCGCAGAATGGCGACAATCTGCCGCATTCTGGGTCCCAGTCCAATGACGTGCTTACTGGCTCTTGTTGTGAGTGGTGGATGGCCTCAAGTCCCACCGGCGAACACATGCAGTGTATGTCATGAATATTAAACTAGAACCAGTTCAATTGAGCTGACCCCCTTTGATTTTTCTGATTTTTTTTTTCTTTCCCTTGATCGCGACCGGACGACGAGCGCTGATGACTGATTGCTCTATGGGGGCAATTGAGGCCGACACAAAATGACGAGAGCACCTTCAACCAGCGACTCCGACGTAGTGGAAGCGGATGAGAGAACCCCCTTAGTCAATGGCACCCATGCGCAGACGAAGACCGACGAAGCCGATGCCGCAATTGAGGGCGGGCAGAGTGATGCTGTTCCCACGTCCAGGGCAACCATCGTCGGCATTTTGTCTACACTGATGCTGGGTAGGTGATGGTTTTGATTCTGTTGAAGAAATTTATTAATGAATGTTAAATGCAGGTGTTTTCATCGCCTCGGCGGACTCTTCAATTGTAATCGCCACCAGCTCCCAGATTGCGTCCGAATTTAATCGATTCTCAGAAGCATCGTGGTTGGTGACTTCATACTCGCTCGCTCAATGTGCTTGCCAACCGCTGGTGAGTACATTTCCCATGGCAGGTCAGAAGTACGGAACCCTTGGGCTAATAATATATTGGGTCGCTAGTATGGGAAGCTCAGCGATATATTCGGGAGGAGAAGCGTTCTGGTCTTCTCGTACATTGTGTTTCTGATTGGCTGCGGACTATGGTATGTTGAACTCTACCTGGCCAATACCTATGGCTTCGAAGCTAATATCTATTTCCTTCTACAGCGGAATCGGTCAGACGTACTGGCAAGTAATTGCTGGCCGCGCGATAAGTGGCATTGGGGGTGCTGGCATGAGCGGTCTCGTGAGCGTAATTATTGCTGGTAAGACTCTGTCGTCGAATCTGACCCTGGCGAGCCATAGCTAACTGGCATTGCTTAGATATGCTACCAATCCGCGAAGTCGCAAAATGGAGGAGTTACGTTAATGTCGTCTCTACCGTCGGTCGATCTTGCGGTGGCCCCCTTGGTGGGTGGCTAGTTGATACAACCGGCTGGCGATGGTAAGAGGATTCAGTGAAATGATATTGGACGACTCTAACACGCATCGTGAACCAGGATATTCCTTGGCCAATGCCCAATCTCTGCGGCCTCAATCCTCTTCGTCGCCTGGAGATTGCCGAATCTAACGACCCCATTGG